ATGCACTTAAATTTTAATACCTAGATTGTTTTCCAAACAGTTGTTCTAATTTGCATGTTGGTAGTTAAGTTTTGAGTAAAAATGAAGCAAAAGAAGAAATGGGATCTTAAATAACTTCCATAATTATCCAAAATATTCATAGAAAATAGAAAGCTGAAAGATAATGATGTATTGAGTATATTTTTTACAGGTCATGTTTGAAATTGCTGAAACTGAAATCAGGCATGTGGGGAGAAGATACATTTCTAAAGTAAAACAAAAACAGAAATACGATTTTAGCTCCCAAAAGTGAAGTACCAAGAATTAAAAGGCAAAAAAAAAAAAATTCTAAAATAACAGAAAGCGTCATTCATGCGATTCTATAGGCAGGCAGCTGAGTTGGTTGATTATTTAAATTGTTTCAGTATCAATCTGGCAAAACTTACAGTAACTTGTTAAAGCCTAGTGTGGCATTATTCTGTCCTGCGCTGCCAGGCTGGGGAGCCCCCCTTACCAATTCTCTCCTGCAGCTCTACATCATATGTGCTAGGATAGCAGATGGAGGTCTTCAGAAAGATGGGCAAAGATTTAGAATTAGGCTATTTGAAGAGGTCAGTATTATATAGCAAAAGATATGATTGTCTGAATGATGTTTCACTTTGAGGCTGGTTTGGGAGAGAGAATTTGCCTATACCCAGTAAGATCTGAAAATCCAACAACCTCCAGATTCCTCAAAAGAAAACCAGATAGAAACTATTGTCTGGGATTACAAACCAGTGGCCAAGAGGAAGAAGAAAGGGAATGGGACTGGGGACAAGGAGAGTAAAAGATCTAAGAGAACATTTAGAGAAGAGAGGGGGAGTGAGGGAACCAGAGAGGAGTGACTCCTTGATACACATCCTAACTCAAGGGGAAAAGCAAAGACTATTTTCACCACCTCTGCCCTCTGTGTGCATACTTAAGTGTTAGTGAGGTTTATTTCTGGTGGTAGACTGTTCTTTCCTGTCCTTGCAAGTTTTAAGGGCATAGCTAAGAGGTTGCATCTACAGTGTGCATGGCATGATTCTACAATAACGTGCTCTTCTTTGCACAAGAAGATAATGCTACTTATTCCTCCTCATGGGACATGCTGTTTTCTATTCACAGGGATTGTTTTACACTAATCCTCCCACTCCATTTCCTTGGACTCCATGGTGACCAGCTGGTCTCGCATACAAGCAGCTGGTAGTGGCTGTGGAATGGCTGGTCGGCCAGGAGTGGGAATGACCCTGTGACCTCCAGCTCATAGCCTTGAGGTCTTGAGTCACTCAGAGATGGGTGCCAGTCAGGGCTTCAGCACTTATTTGTTGTCAGACAGTATGCAGCCCACTTGTCTTCATTCAGCCTCAATTTTTTAATCCATAAAATGGGAATAATAACTTCTCTCTCATGGTATTTGAGAGGATGAAATAAGCTGAAAATGTAAAGCATTTCCTTCCGTAACTAAACAGGTAGACACTGTTTGTCACCCCAAGCAGAAACAATAATATGACGCCTTTCCTTCAGATGTAATTCTTTGTGTGCCTACCTGAGCCAGGAAGAGAAACAGCTGATCATATTCTAGCCATTGGTCAGTGGCCAGCAGAAAAGCTTCCTTTATATCAATGTGTGTGAATATGTGTGCAAGTGTTTATGGGAAGCCTTACACAAAGTTTAAGGTAATCAGAGGATATCCCTCTCCCATGCCACCCCAGAGAACCCTCAGAATGCCTGTGTTTGATAAATCCTTTGCCTGACTCCATGTTTTAGAGAAACTTGGAAAGTTTAAATAACCTATGAAATTTGAGTCTGAGTTTAGAACTATCTCTTCATTTCCGGTCTAGTAGTTGATATTTGAAAATCTACTCTTCCTTTTGAATGACATATTTATTTGTTTAATGGCACTGTCAGAGGCACTAAATATAGCTATGTCCTTTACCAGGTGATGGATAGTCTGGACTTCATTCTTAATTTCTTTAATCATGTTAAAGGTTTACATACTATGATACATCTCACAACACTTTAAGGGAATGATAAGAAACTTTGTCTGCAGAGATAAAAATAATGACACTGAATCATTTCCTTTTTTGCTCTTTGGATTCCCATATAAAGTTATCAACTGAGTACACCTTGCCTAGTATAACAAGGATGCCTGCTTAACATTGGTTCATGCTGGTGACGTTAGTCACTGATAATTGCTTAAGAGTTGAGATCAACTAGGAAATCACTGAGCTCATCTGTAAAAAAAAAAAATGACTGTAGTCATTAAGAAATAAAAGGCTTTACTGAATAACTGCAAATTATTTCAACAGAAATGAGAGTAACCATTTTCATAGTAACAGATACTCATCCAGACTTTTAAATTGCCAGAAGGCAGACAGTTTGGGATTCTTAATTGTTTACTATACTCTACAAGTGGTCATTATTTTTCCATTTGTGAGGATTTTTTTTTCTTTTAATAGAGTCTGTCCTACTCCAAATTTTAGATTTGTTTGAGTTTTAAATAGAAATTGTGGTTTGAGGTAAATTCAACTTTTTGGACATAGACTTTATTTGAAAAAGATTTACCTTCAAATTTTATCCTACACTGGCATTCATTTAGATAGGAGCAGTAAAGGACCCAAACGGATATTTCAGGGTTAAGTACTTCTTTTAGAAAAACTTTCTTCCTTTGCATCTTGGGGGCTTTGGTTAGGACTGTGTTTCTGGAGGAAGCAAGGACTTTGGAGGTAGTTTTTTGAACTTTAGGCGTTAAGCAATTATGCTTTAACTACACTCAGGACACGTGATCTTCCAATTTTATAGTTTGCCAACTTCAGAGAAAAGCTTTGCTGAAATCTGTTGAGGTGTCATGACAGACAGGGCCATATGGGAAGTGTTGGAAAAATTCCTCCTTACACTAAAATTGCCTTGATGGGCAGAAACTCTACCTTCTTCAAATTCTATTCAGCTACGTGTATGCTTCACTGTATTTGAGGGTTTACTGTCCAAGGCACCATCCGCCTCAAAGCAAAATTAAAATGGGGCACTGAAAATACTCTGCTACCTATAGAGCCAAATATATTTTATTTCCTTTTGTTTATAGGGTCATGTTCCTTAATCCCTGAGTATACAATGTGTACACAGGTTGATTACATGAAAAAACAAACAGCTGTTACTCGGTGGTTTGTGGTTACGTAGATGAAATTTGTTAGTGGATAAGTTGCTCCTTTCTAATTAGGCATCTGGGTGCCATGAAGACACAGTATTTGAGCATGGCAGTCAGTAAGGCAGTGTAGTATAGTGGTTAAGGTCCAGACTCTGGAGCAGACTCACTTGAGTTTGAATTTTGGCTCCATAATTTCTTAACATCTCTGTGCCTCAACTTTCCCATCTGAAAAATGAGTATAATTGTACCTAACTCATAAGGTTGTTAAGAGGATTAAATAAATCAACATATGCACATTAAAAAGTGCTTTAGAATAGTACCTGTCACAGAGTAAGCACTATTTAAGTCTGAATTGTAATTATGATCATTAAGAATCTAAAATTTTATACCATTAAATGTGCTTCTCCATAGTAAAAAAGTTGATTGCAAATTTAGCATATGGGGAAATCTCTCCTTGTTCTTTCATTCCCTTCCTATCTCTCTCTCCCTGCTTCTTTCCTTTCTCTTTTGCTATCTTCACCTAGTTTTCTGTCTCTATACCCACAATTCGATTCTCCATATTCCCAGTTTTCCTTATGTGGAGTTTCTAATGGTGGTGCTCTGGGGAGGAGGGAGTTGTGCGGAGGATGGCAGGGCTGTGCACTCCACATCCCAAGTATGAGACCGGTAGATCCTTCTGTTGTTAGTGGGTTCCCACTTCATAGCTACCCACATGCGTTTCAGAGGAAGGAACATTTTTTTCTGTGTGGGGGTGGCATTCATGTTGCAAGGGGATGGATAATGGTGTTATTTTTGTTTCCACAAATGTGGATGTTTAAAATAGTGCTTTATTCAATGGCATAAGTGACACATAGACTATGTATAGTGCCTGAATTGGGCCTGGCAGGTGATGAGGGCCAGATCTCAACAAAATCAAGAGTCGTGGGTCCCCACTGATAGTACCCAAGGGATCTGCTCTGAGGACGGCAGGTACAGAACCCCCATCTTGGGCTGCCTGGCAAATTCGCTTCCACAACGACTGAATTGTCTGAAATGGCTGTACCTCAGAGCCAGTGAACGGAGATTTTGGCTTCTTTTCCATGGGGCATGCCAGCAGGTCACATTTCCTCTCTGAATCTCCCTCCAAGCCGCACTGTACTCATGAAGGGTAAGTACATTCGTTGTTCTTTGGTGCCTTTGACTCAGTGCCCTGCAGGGCTGGCATTCAGCCAGGGAAACTGAACCACCAGGCTGCAGCTGAGGCTATATTTCATTGGGGGTTTATTATCTTGCCATGGTTTTACAAATTTAGGGAACTTTTTGAGATTTACTGGCTATTGTAGGGATTGGAAGTAGTGTCAGTTTTGGTCCCAAATATGCTCCCTTTCAGTGATTATAATTAAAAGTTTATTCAAAGTTTTAGGTTGCTAGTCTTTGAAAACTGTCCTTTATTAGACTTTGACACAGTAAGGATTCTAAAAGGGATTCTTCCTATTTTTGAAGCAAAGAGGTTATGTTTCATAGACTGCCACTTTGGGGGGAATTTAGACGGAATATTTTATTCCTTTGAGAAGTTTATTGCCAGAACTCATCAGATTTGACTTTCCATGGAGAAAGAAAATAGATTTCTAGGCGAACATAAAGCTACTACCTGTACAAGGGAAATTTTGAAATATTTCCAGAGTGTCGTTGATTTGAGATACAATGCAGAACTTGAGTGTTAGTTAAGAACAAGGGAAAAGACCCGTTTAATCAGAGAACTGGAAGTGCAAGATGTTAGGGAGTAAGGAATAATTTCAGACTTCCTAGGTGTCTCTACTATAGATTACATAAAACGTGGTTGATTTGAATTTAAACCCACATACCTCCTCCACTCCCAACATTCTTTTTTTATCTCTTCAGAGCTTCCTCTCTCTACCCTCAAGTGTGGTTTCAGTATGACTAGAGAATGGACACTAAAAATATTTCTGGAATGACGTGACCCTCTCTCGCCCCATCAGGAAAGGAACAAGGCTGCACAAGAAACAGCATATGCTTTCCCTTCATTTCTGGGACTCCCGGGGTCGATCTGCAGATGCTGCTCCTTCCGTGGCCGATGGCATTCAGATTCATAGCTGCCGACAGTGCCAGGCAAACAACTGGGCAAGACAGCTTGGCTACGGGCCGCTGGCCACGGTCTCGGCCAGAGCAGCAGCCCCCCAGCCACATCCCACCTCTGCCACCCCATTCAGGAGCCTTCCCATCTCCCTCAGGCTGGTCCCGGCCCCGCCACAGGGGCTGAAGAACTTGGAGGTGGTGGCAGCTGCGGCTGTGGTGCCTACAGCCTTGGGGGCAGTCCAGGCACGTGGGACCCGGCTTCGGGCAACTCTGTGGCCCCTTCAGGGCCAGAGAGAAACTCAGGACAGCCGCAGCGCTCACCACTGCCTCTTCCTGTCGCTGAAACCTGGGCTGGGGCTCAGAATGGAAGCCACTACTCCTGAACTGATGTCACAGGTCGAACTGACTGAGGCTGGGGAGCCGGCGAGCGGAGCTCAAGACAACCCAGAGCTAAAGCAGCAGCTGCGGCCACTTCCCAAGCCTTCAGCTCTCTCCCAGGGAGAAGCGAAATATGTGGAGATGTGTGCTTCCGCTGGAGTGCAGAGGCAGAGTCCTCGGACCGTGAAACTTACCCTGGAGCACCGTCCAGGGGATCAGAGGGCCTCTCGGAGCTCCAAGGAGAAATCCAGTGGGCCCCAAAATGAACCCGGAGACCAAGAGTCCAAGGCTCCAACTCTCCAGAAGAATCGTGCTGCGGCGGAACTCTCCCGAGCCCAGCCCTCCAACACTGACGAGACCGGCAACTTCTCATCTTCCGCGTCCTCCTCCTCCTCCCTGGTGGACAAAGCAGAAGAGGATGGCCTTTCCAAAAGGGATGATACCATCACATCGACCGGGGCTCTGGCCACCTCCTCTTCTTCCTTAGGCTTTGAGAGTGACAGTGGTGAGAGCGAAGTGAGCTGCCAGGCCAGAGAAGGAGAAGCCGGGAAAAAAACGGGAGGGGCAGGGGGAGCAGGAGGGGGAAGACGGGGAATAGGAGATGAAACAGTGTACAGGAACATTATTGCCAAGTCCCAGGGCAGCAGAGACCCCCCCAAAAATGAAGAGGCTCACTACATCACCACCCACGAGATCCAGCTGAGTGAGGTGGAGCAAGACATGGATTTTGACGTGGGGCTGGCCTCCCGCTGGGATTTCGAGGACAACAACGTGATCTACTCGTTCGTGGACTATGCTTCCTTTGGTGGCAGTGACGAGACCCCGGGAGATGTCACCACCGCCACTGAAGAGGACGACGACAACAGCTGCTACCTCAGCACCACTCCCAGCACCGACACCACCCGGACGCCCAGCCCCACCAGCAGTGATCAGGCCCGCCCCAGGGCGGACAGCAGCGGTACAGACACGAGCAGCACGGAAGTGGGCAGCGGCCCCTTGGACAGTGACCCCACGCCCCCACCCACTGGGCTTGGCACTGTCACCCCCCATGAGCCCTTGCCCGAGCCCCCGGAGGCAGCTTCAGGGGCAGCAGGCTCGGCGAGCAGCTGTGGGAGTGCAGCAAGCCAGATCCTCCTATCAATCAAACCGACTTCCCGGGCTATAAATGAGCCTAGCAACGTGCGTGCAAAGCAAAACATTATTTACGCTGCCAAGCATGAAGGCGACATGAGCCTCCGCGTCTCTACAGCTGCTGAACACAAGTCAAGTTCACTGAAGCAATTCCCGGCTGCAGCCGTGGCTCAGGACCATGCAAAGAAATTCATTGCTGTCCCTGCTCGCCTGCAAACCAGGTGCGGGGCCATACGAGCGAAGGAGCTGGTGGACTACTCCAGTGGAGCCTCCAGTGCCGTGAGTGAGCTGGACGATGCCGACAAGGAGGTGCGTAACCTGACCTCCCGGGCCTTCCGGAGCCTTGCTTACCCCTACTTTGAGGCTCTGAACATCAGCTCTCGGGAGTCCTCCACTACGCTCTCCGAAGTCGGCTTTGGGCGCTGGTCGACTTTCTTGGACTTAAAATGCGGGGGTGTGGGAGCCAGGGTGGAAGAGAGCCTGCTCAGGAGCAGCGCAGCTTCGGTGGCTGCAGGTCTGAGGAAGGGCAGCGGGGCCAGGACCACCGCAGACCAGCTCTACATCCAGTCCAAGAAGTCCCAGACCAAGGCCTTGGAGTTTGTGGTCAGCAAAGTTGAGGGGGAAATCAAACATGTGGAGACACCTCTGTGTTTCCAGAAGCCCATCCAGACTGGCTCTCGCGTGGTCACCCTTCTGGAGCCCCTGAATTTATGCAGTGAGAGCAAAGCCAGCTCATCCACTGGGCCTTGCAGAGGCGCCAAAGGCTCCAGCAAGGGCCCCGGGTCAGTGTACACCGATGATGGCTCTGAGACCTCTGAAAGCAGAAAGCCTGTCTCCCGGAACGAGGGCTCCCAGAAGAAGTCCAAGTTTGCTTCCAGCCTACTCAAAAATGTCATCTCCAAGAAGATGCAACTGGAACACGAGTTCAAAATGGAGAGGGGGGAAGTCACAGACACATCTCACAAAAGCCTCCCCAGCAGCTCTAAGCAGGCAGAGGGCCCTTCTGAAAAGCCACGGGACAGGGGCCTGCAGAGGCAGAGTTCTCGCCACTCAGAGGCTGGCTCCGAGTACACGGTGGTTAGCGTGTCTGATGCAGGTGGGGAGGGGTCCGCGGTCGAGACCAAATCCCCCATTTTCAAAGCCAGTGCTCCCCGAGAGAGCAATGCAGGCTCTGGCCGGAATTTTGCAGAGGGATACACGGAAGAAGTGTGTGAAATTAAAAAGAGCGCCTCAGAGACTGTCAAGGGCATCTTCCTCCGAAGTCAGAACAGTGCATTCCGATCATGGAAGGAGAAAGAGGCGGAGAAGCGAGAAGAGAAAGCCCCCATTCGGAAGCTGAAGCTGCCCAAGGCGGGTGACTGGAGGGCTGACTTCGGGGAGATCTCTGCCAGCAAGTCCACCATCATGTCTCGCCTCTTTGTCCCCAACATCCAGCAGACACCCAGGGACAAGCAGCCGGGGAAGCAGGCCACCAAGTACCCTGCTGCCCAGGCCACCTCCACGGCAGTGATCAGGCCCAAGGCTCCAGAAATCAAGATCAGACTGGGGAGTGTGCAGCAGCCAAGCTCAGACTTCAACATTGCCAAGCTGCTCACGCCCAAGCTGGCCAGCAGCAGCACCTCCAACTTCTTTAAGACAACTGAGGACAACAGCAGGGCACAGCAGAAACTCTTCCGTGGGGACAACCTAGAAAAAGTGCCCCAATTCCAGGTGAGAGATGTCAGAGACAAGTCCAAGGTTCAAGGCCCCCTCCACCAGGTGAGAGATGTCAGGAAGCTAATCAAAGGGTCCGGGGACAGTAGTGACAAGGGCAGTGTTACCCCAGAACAAGGGCTGACTGGGCCCAAACCCAGACAGCTGGCTGCTGCAGCTGGTGGGTCCAAATCCCTGTCCCCAATGGTGATTATGTGCCAGGCTGTAGTGAACCAGAGGGAAGACAGCATGGACCGAGAGCAAAGGGAGAGCATGGGCAAAGGTGGCAGGAACAGGGTCTTGAACTCCTCCTCCCCAGAAGGGACAGTTTTGGTTCACAGGGCATCTGGCAGGCTGCCCGTGGCCACCATTGCACCCAACAAGTCAGAGCACGGTTCCTACCTGCCTGTGCTCAAGATTGTCTCCAAGGCTTCTGCCCAGAAGACCCCAGAGAAGCCCAAGGACGAGGAGGTCAAGGAGGAAGGGAAAGCCCCAAAGCCAGCCCGGAATGCCCTAGAGAAGCTGACTGCCGCCGTGAGATCCATGGAAGAGCTGTATAGCTTCAACAGGAATGAGTGGAAACGCAAAAGCGATCCCTTGCCCTTGATGACTGATAGCCATGTCCTGTCACTCATTGCCAGTGAAGAGAGGGAAGGGACAGGGGGTGCTGAGGGAGACACCGACAAGCTGGCTAAAAGGCTAGGGGAGGTGGAAGAGCGAGGTGCAGGAAGTAAAAGCGGAGTGTTCCTTCGTGGGGCCCCCATAGAGCGTCTGCAGCGGAGAAACTCCAACCCAAGTGCAGAGAGTGTATCTGCCCGAGCAGCCGCCTTTGAGAACCTGGCCAGAGAGAGGCCACGTTCCCTCTATATTCCCCCAGTTCACAAGGATGTGGAGAGAACCCCACCCCTGCAGCCCCTCCCACCACTCCCCAGCAACCGGAACGTCTTCACAGTAAGTGCCAGCAGCACCCAGAAAACTGGGGGTGTTGCCGGCAAGTTCCCACAAGGGCCTTCTCCTGAGAGTCCTTCAGCAGCAAAGGGCGTCAAATCACAGGGACTCCGGTCCCTCAAGATCTCTCCAGCCACCAGGGCACCTTCTGATGAGGCAGCCAGCAGGAAAAGTGGCAGTAATTTGGAGAAGGGCAATAGTGACTGTGAGAATTACCTGACTATCCCTCTCAAGGAAAGCCCTGTGGCAGGGGAACTTCCTGGCAGGCCTGGGGCTGGTAGAGAGGGGCCTCCAGCTTCCTCAGCTGCCAATCTCTGCAGCTTGCCCCCCTTGAACGCCCGCAGTCAGGTCCCCACTAGCCCCAAAGGCTCCCAGGTCAGTGGAACCAGTCGGCCAGCTTGGCGTAGCAAACCTGACAACCCTCGGGAGACAGTAGCTGCCCGCACAGGGCCACAGAGCCCTGAGCATACCCCTACCGCCATTTACCACCAGCAGCCACTGCCCTTCACCCTGCAGGGTGTCCAGCCCCAGGTCCTTTGCTTCTCCCCACCTAGCATGCCTGCGCCGGCACCTGCAGGTCCAGCTCCGGTCCCCACAGACCCCTTCCAGCAGCCACAGCCTCAGCAGACCCAGCGCAAGATGCTCTTGGACGTGACAACGGGTCAGTACTATCTTGTGGACACACCAGTGCAGCCCATGACCCGGAGACTGTATGACCCTGAGACGGGGCAGTATGTGGATGTGCCCATAAGCTCCCAGCAGCAGCCCATCGCTCCCATGTCTCTCCCAATGCCTCCCTTGGCCCTGAGTCCTGGGGCCTATGGACCCACCTACATGATCTACCCTGGGTTTCTGCCCACGGTGCTGCCTACCAGTGCTCTGCAGCCCACCCCAATTGCTCACACTCCAGGGGGCAGTGAGCTCTCCCCCATCACAGCAGAACCCCCCAGCAAAGAGGCAGCTGTGACATTCACCGAGGCCCCATACTTCATGGCCTCTGGTCAGTCTCCTGCTTCCTCTTCCTCTTTGGCTCCAGCAGCCACATCCCAGCTTGTGGGGGCCAAGGGCTTCGCGCAGCTGCACGGCAAGCCTGTCATCAGCATCACTTCGCAGCCGCTGGGGCCTCGGATCATTGCCCCCCCTTCCTTTGATGGCACTACCATGAGTTTTGTGGTGGAACATAGATGACGCGCTATCACCAGAAAGCAAAATGGAGCAGCTGCTGGTGAGTGGCTTTTACTCTGATAAGGTTTAAGGGATTAAGAATAATCCTGTTTCTTCGTGTTTGAAGTGGGGGATTTACAGCAGGGGTGGCTGGTCTCTAGAAATGGGCATTTTGGAAGATTAGAGCAAAAACTCATCCAAATGATTAAGGAGCTAGTTTTCTTGACAAGTTTCCTTCTCTCCCTACTCCTCGGTCTCCACAGCTGGTCCTTCCCCTTTGACCTTTGCAAATTGCCTAAATGTTTTTCCCACCAGCATATTTTTCCTAGGCAGTCAGTTTCACCTTTGGCGATAGGTTGGCAAGGAAAAAATGAAAAGCTGGTCTGGATTTCATGGAGCCTCACTCCTTGTTCCTGGCCGGACCAGTAACAGAAGGCATTGAATATCCTAGGAGATCACTGGAAACACAGCGAATATGTTTGTTCCTCAGAAGTAAGGGAAGTCAAAGACTGAAATTTTCTTGCTAGGGAGGTTTTCTAAAATCTGCAGAAACGCTTCTCTCCTCCACCTTGCCTTCCTCTTGAAATATCTTGTATAAAGAGACTGTGTATTTTAAGCTCTTGTTTTTCAATTTTCAGATGATCAGAACACTTTTTATTAGGGTGAGTCCAAGGCCTTTAATGTATTGTGCCCCCCCCCCCCGCAACACACAGCCTGACCTCTACTCGAAGGGTAGATACCTGAGCTGTAGCTGCTCCTTAGATAGGATGGCTGTGTCTGACCCAGTCCTTTCATACTGAATCCATTGCAGTCTGCTGGTTATTCCCTCTAAGAACTCATTTTCGTATCTTCTCTCTTCCTTTTAGAAAGAATCAACTTCTACTCTTGCACCCCTCTAAAGGAAACCAGATAAAGTCGATTTCTGAGTTAATCTACATTCGCAGACAGGAACCCCTGCTATAAATACAGTCCATGGAACTTGTTAGGAAAAGTGAGTTTGGCTTGTCTGAACCAGGACACATGAGGTCATCTGCACAAGACAAGGGGGAAGGCAGTACAAAGGTGTCAGCACTGTGGGGACAAATCTGCTCCTCACACACCTGTTCTCTTCAGATTAGGAAAGGTTGAGATCACAAATACTTCTAGGACCTTTTCTCTCCCTGTAAAATCATACTGAGGCAAGAAAGGAGAGGGAGAGAAGAGAGACCCTTTCGATGCTTATATGAAAGAAATAAGCCATTTCTCTCGTCTGTGAATTCCTTGGAAAGGAATAGAGGAATTTTGTTTCTTTGTGCAGCCCAGAGCCTGAAATTAGGAATTAGGATAATTGGATTAGAGTCACAGCTTCTTTTCACCAGCTGTGTGATCTCAGGGTGACAAACTCTAGCACTCATTGTCTCAGCTCTAGTGGGGACAATCATCTCTACCCTTCAAAGTTTATCTGAATGTCTCATGATGTAATATATATATAAAGTGTACTGCAAAATATATATATATATTTCAAATGTAAGGGATTGTTACCGTGTATTACTTTTGTTGAACTGCAAGACAACGTTAAACCACTGTTGAAAAATCCCTGGATTCTTCTCTAAGAATTCAGATGAAAGCACAAACCTCATTTTACTCGACTCTAGAAATAGATTATTTGGATTCTTCCTCTCCATAGTGCAACAGATACTGTGATGATGATGATGATGAGAGAGAGAGAACGAGCGTGAATTAAAGATAAATAACACATCTTTTGTTTGGGGTGGAAGAATACAGAAAAAATTCAGTATGCATGTAGAAGAGACTCAGAGAATTTGTTTTTCAGAGGGAGAAGAGTAGTCCATAGGTAAAAGAGTTTGAATCTTCTTGACAGGTGCTATGCTTACCTAAGGGTATTTGGGACCAGCTAATCCTGTGGGGCCTTTGTGTAAGCTGTGGAGGTGCAGAAGCAAGGTGAAGGGAGGACAGGGAAGAACCGGGCACAGATTCGCTTAGTGTCCTCTTAGCAGCTGCCTTTGGCCTTTCTTTAGCCTGCTGAGTCTGGCGAGATTGAGCTTGGAGTAGTTTGCACCAGACACAAACATAAATCAGAGTTTTTAGCGTTCAAATTTGACCAGTGTTTTTTTAAATATTTTTTCCCATTTGAAAGCACAACCTTTATTTTGGTAAACAACCTTAAATATGGACAGAAAGGGAAAAACTGGTTTCTTAATTTCAGAAGACTAGTCGGAAACTAAAGACTGTCTATTTGTATGTAGGCAAAATTCTAGCTATTCAAACTCAGGTAACTAATGACAATCTTTTAAAACTTGCTTTCCTGAAGGTGCTATGCCACTTTCCAAAGAAAATCCAATGTTCATAAAAAAGAAGTGTGTCATTCTTTTCCTCATGTGAAAATCTGTCTTTAATGCTGTTCAGATATATTGAAAAATTAAATTGTACACACTCATTAATCAACTGATGCTTATAAGGACAGTCAATGTGAAAAGTCTTGGAAGGTGGTTTAGATTCAGTAGTTCCTTTAAAACCAGACTTAACCCAGAGATTTCTCATGAGGAGGGGTAGGGTTTTATGTGCCACTTCAACTGACAAGTTATATAAATAAACGATTTGGTCTAAACACAACATTTGTTGGAGGAGAAAACTGGGACTTAGAAAGAAATGGTTTTTCTGAGAGCCCACACCATGCAACCTGCAGGCTGTTCTTTATGCTTCTTGGTGGGATGTATGGCTGAGGAGGCAGCATGAGCTCTAAACTGGCTACCAGGCCACCTGGGATCTACTCCCTGGCTGCATTTGGCTTTAACTATCAATATTTCCATTCGCCTCTCTGAATGAACGTTTGAACTGAATTTGAACCCATTCATTCAACAAATATGAATTGCATGCTTACGGTGTGCCGGACACTGCGTACTCTGTAGTGGAGCAATAAACCCAAATATGACCCAGCATGGTCCCGTAATCCAGGAGCCCACATTCCAGCAGGAGGAACAGAAAACTGCAAAACTAGTGCTCAAGTCCTGTCATAACCGTTAAGATTCCTTTTATCATCTATTTTTAGCACACAGGGAGCTTTGCTTTCCCCCACTCTGTATATCCATGAGTGTAAACAGCTACTGTCATCTCTTTCTGATCATTCTCTTATGAATTTTCATTTATTTTTTGCATTGATTCCAGCTTCTCTCTTCCTGTATTCAATATTTCAGTACTTCTCATATTTTGCCACGTCACAACCCATCTAAAAAGATATTACTGATGTTATTTTACTATTACTTAATAATGACATAGCATATCTTGATAAATGCAAGAGGCTGTTCATAGTCAGATGCCAGTGACCCGTTGGCCAGGCAGCCACGACAGTAACCATTTGCAACAAATTGGCATGCTACTCACACCGGTTGCCAAACATCACTACTTTCTCCTTGTGTGAGATCCCTCTCTGTTTAATTCATTAGGACTCTTTTGTTTGATTGGTTTTGTTTTAAAAGTCATTTCTCTACAGGATTATTGATACCTTTAAAAAAATAAGTTATTTTAGTTTTGTTATTGTTGTTGAGAATATGCGCTGCAGGACATACACCAATTCAACAATTTCTGTATGTACATTTCAGTGATATTGATTACATTCTTCAAGTTGTTGCAACCAATCTTACCCTCCTTTTCCAAGTTATTCCTCCTCCATTAACAAAAACTCACTGCCCCCTAAGTTTACTATCTAATCTTTCGAGTTGCTGTTGTCAGTTTGACCCCATATAGGCAGATCTTAAAAGAGCATAGTGCTCAAGGCAGACGTTCTTTACTAGAGAAGCAAAACTTTGTTTGGTTTTAAGAAGACTTCAGGAAATACTTTTGGTTTAAGGTTTAAGATTATCTCAGGGCAATAGTTTCAGGAGTTCATCCAACCATCATGGCACCAGGATGTCTGGAGTCCATGACACTTTGGATTTCTCTATAGAATCTCTGATCAAAATATTCAGTAATGGTAGCTGGGCACCAGCCAATTCTTCTGGTTTCACAGTCAAGGAGGTAGTTGTTTATGGAGGCAATTAGCCACACATTTAATTTCCTCTTCCTACTCCTCACTATTGGTGCCTTTTTAATGAGATTACTTTTGTTTTGGTTTTCTGTCGTTCTAGGCAAGTGGCTATATCTTTCCTTCCCTAACACAATTACTCTCCTGCTTTCTCCTTCCCACTTAGATGCCATATTTTTGTCTTAAAACTTTAATTGAGATTTGATACTAAATTCCATTTACAAGTGTATAAAGAAAAAGATAAATATGTAAGAACTAAAACAATAATCTTTAATTGTCATAGTGCCTGCTACAGTTGATATCAACCTAACTAGAGAACTGCCGTTATCTTGTTCCATTTTTTTGTCCATCCCCCCCTTTTTTTCTTCTGCAAGACCTTATCCATTTGGTTTTCTCATTTCTGAGCGTGCTTTATGTCGTTCCTACATCCCTGCTCTTTCTTTTCTCCTCATGTCCTCAGAGTTATTTATGCCCCCTGAACAGGGCCCCATACATCACCAGCTCAAACGGAAAGAGAAAGGAGGCTGGATTCAGGGAGAGCTGTTTTCACCTTAGAATCATAGTGTGTTCTCAGAGGCCCTAGAGGGACCATAAGATCATCACATTCAGACCCCTTGTGCTAAAATGGAGGAAATTGGAGCTCAGAGAGGCTAAGTGACCATTCTTACATCACAGTGTCCCTTTGGGGCAGAGCTGGAACTCAAAATCTGAATTGTCCCATACCAAGGTCTTCTTTCAGTTTGCTCTTTTCTTACCGCTCTCCATTTCCTCTTCTCTTTTTTTCTAGAAGTCCACCTGTTTGGAGGTTCTACTTCTCAATGTCTCTCCATTAGTCTACTTCTCCACTTTTTTCCTTGCCATTTATTTGAGAGTTTATTCTCTCTCTCTCTCTTTTTTTTTTTTTTCCCAGGGAAGGGGTGTTCGTTTGCTTGCTTGCTTTGCAATTTTAGTGCCTCTTTCTTATTGTGGAGTCCCTGGGTGGTGCAAACAGTTAACGTACTCAGCTGCTAATTGAAAGGTTGGAGGTTCGAGAACACCGAGAGGTATATCAGAAGAAAGGCCTGGCTC